TTACTACATTAAGCAACAGGATTTTTGCCATATATTGCTATACGTTAAAAGTTGCACTTCAGTTTTAGGATAGCTGCCATCTGCTTCATTTTTGCCAGCTCAGTGTTTTTTGTTTGGTGTGTGTGTGTGTGTGTGTGTGTGTGTGTGTGTGTGGTTTTTTGTTTTGTTTTTTGTTTGTCTGAATACTGGGCTTCATTTCTATACAGTTTATTAGGGAAAAGTCCTATTGAAATCAAATGCATTTACTTGTGAGTAGACATGAATAGGAATCAATAATTTTCTTGTTGATAACATGTATGTTTAAGGTACATAAAACTCTGTTTTCCTTCAGGACAAAAGTGAAATTGAGTGAATATTGATTTTTTTGTGTTATATAAAACACCTTACTTAATGATTAATCAAATACAGCTTGCAGTGCTTCTTTAAAAGCTGCATTTCTTTTTCTACCATTTTTAAATCATTCTGATGACTAATCATTAAAATCAGAGCAGAATATTTAAGAGGTTTGTGGTAGCAAATGAATATAACAGACACGGTTCTGTACATGCTGTACTAGAATAGGCCGCTAATCTCTTATTTGAATGCTTTCCAGAACTGCAAAACAGCTTCAACTTTGAGAACAGTTTATGGTTTCATTAAATAATAAAAACAGGAAGAAAGAAGCAGTATTTTATAAAAATGAGAATTAATTTAAGGTTGAAACTGAGGCCCTTTACATTCTGTTCCAGGCTATATTATGAACAAAGCATATGGTCAAACATCTCACTTTTTAAAGTGACCTGTGACAGTAACATTTAAAAAATCTTGATACTTCTACTGGTGCCAACAGATATAAAATGGGTTTTTGAACTTCCATAATTTGTTCAAATTATCTTTATGGCCAGCTCTATCAATTATCACGTCCGTGGGGCTCAAAATAACTATATGCTTATTTATCCATTCTTGGTCTTTGTGTTTTTGTATGTGAGAAAGAGACTGATTTACACAGTTTTATTTTCTCTTTTGTGGATCACTCTTGATCTTGATCACTAGCTTAACATCTTCTCTACCTGCTGTTCTAAAGCACTGTTCTGAAATAGAATGCTATAATAGCATGAAATAGAATGTTATAGTTCCAATCTTTCTGGTGGCTCACAATGTTTCCTAATGCAGACATTTTCCATGAGTAGAGATGAGTCCTGCTTTCTGTATGTACATCAGTGACAGTTATCCAGTTAACTATTTTTCAATTTACTCTCCTGGGATACAGAATAGATACAATATTTCTGTCAAATGAAATACATCTGATATTTCAATATAGGACACAACAAGAGGACCTGTTATCATTATTGTAATCTCTACTGTCTTTTTTAAAAAACAAGAATGGTCAGCTCATAGCCTGTTGGCAGTGTTCATTTTCATCCAACTGCTCTTATGCTTGTGTGAAAGCATAATCTGTCCAGTGCTTCTAAAGTGAAATATATCCCCAGAACCCTCTGCAGCCATTCGTAAATCCTTTGAAAAGACCTCTCTCCTTGCTGCATTTCTCAGTTGATAAAGGACACAGTGATACTGTATGTGGATATTTAGGAAGATTGACTAGGAATCCAGCAATACCGGATGACAAAAAACAAACAAAAAACAAAGTATGCCATCCATAGGAATCAATAATATTCATAAACATTTTGTAAATCCACTTTCTTTATAGACTTAGAATTGCTTTCTTCATCTACATAATTTTTAAAGGCAAAGATAAACCAATCAATGAAAGGACGGAGACATTTAAAATTGTTTTTTAAAAGATTAATATGAGTGTATTGAAACTTAATTCAGAAAGGACACTGGTGCTCATAGACTATAAAATCACAGAGAAGAAATTCAATTTGCTTAACATCAGGTAGCACTTTCCTTGATGTATTAGACTTGCATTTGAATATACTACACTGTGCCTGATGCATTGGTTTACACAGCTTCGGTGGCTGTATCAACTCAGTCCCTTGAGACAACAGATTTGCTCATCATAACACCTCCCATATTTCTTTGTTTTGAACAACTGAAATGCATTTGACTGGATTTTGTCTTTGCTAAGTATTTTAAAACTGAATTAGATCTAAAATGCCTTGACCGAATTCTTGGCTGGAAGAGAGTACAAAGAGTTGTTGACTCCCTTGTTACAATAATTGTATTGGAATTGTGACAAACCCAGACCTACTGGGATATGTCACACAGTTACACTAAGCTGCCACCAACCATTCCCTATAAGAAGTCACACAGACCAGGGATGGATTTTTAAAACAATAAAAGAATAAGGTTTATTTTAAATACACACAGGGAAAAATAAACAATCAGGTGAATAGGATAAAATAACGTGGCTTATTCTCACTCATACAAGCATACAGTTTGGTTCACCCAGAACCCTTAACTTGAAGCACAGACCCTGAACCTATCAGTTCTGGCTAACCAACAGACACCTGAACCTATCAGGTTGGTACTCTGACACACAGAAGTACCCTGTCTGACACACAGACTCCCACAACAGCTTCTTCTTCCCAGCTGCTGCTTCGTCACAACCCAGTGTCTCTCAGCATCTCTCTCTCTTCACACACACTCCACATATTTATACAGTACAGCCCCTCCTCCTGATGTCCCGCCTTCCACTCCCCATAGGATGGAACTTTCCCTCCAAACCCATGACAGACAGGTAACATCAGTGCTGTATGTAACAGGAATCTTGGCTTTTTTCTTTTCTGAACTCAATTTAAAGTACTGAGTTTGAACTTTAAAGCCCTAAATGGCTTAGGCAGGTCCAAAATGCAGCAGCCAAATTACTGGAGCTGGTTACAGGGATCACATAACCACCCTGTTACATCTGGCTACCAATCCATTTCCAGGCTGAATTCAAAGTGTTGGTTCTAACCTATAGAGCCTTAAATGGCTTGGGCCCAAGGCCTCTCAAGGTCTGCACCTCTCTTTATGAGCCTGCTCGAGTATTCAGATCATTATGAGGGGCCTTTCTCTCAGTCCCATCACCTCCATAGGTACATTTGGTAGGTATACAAGACAGGGCCTTCTCTGTTTGCTGCTCCCAGACTTTGGAACCCTCTCCCACAGGAAACTAGACTGGTCCTGTCTTTGCTGTCCTTCAAGGGAGACCTTTTGCTTCAGACAAGCTTTCCTTCAGTGACTGGCTATCTGAGTGGAGTTTTTAAATTGATTATTGTACTTTATTGCTTTGAATGTGTTTTGGCATCATTTATGTTTTTAAATATGTATTTGTTTGGTCCTTTTTGTATTTGTATACTCACTGTTGTTAGCTTTAATATTGTCTTTTAATTATGTGAGCCACCTTGGATTCTTTTAAGGAGAAATGTAGTTTTAAAATATTTTAAATGAATGAATGAATTAGGACATGGGTAGTTGGAGAACTGTCTTCTCTTATACAAGCATATTGGTACTGAGATGTGCAGGTGAATGTCTGTCTTAGCACATGGCTGGCATCTCATCGGTTAATTGTGGCAACATGTGTGATTTCTCTTGCATGTGTAGGATTTTGGCCATTTAAATTAGTAGGAATTAAGCTAGCTATGACAAGCATGTCAGATTTGTTTCAGTGGGTCTGCTCTAAGTACGATTAAGGCTGAAACTAATCTAGTAGCCTGGATACAGAATCTGCCCCCAGTCAGAGTCTCGCCCTCTCCTATGAACCCAAGCTATCATAGTGTGTCTGTGACATTTATTGCTTGTTTGTAATACTTTTAAACTTTTAGTGTTCTTATGCTTCATTGTTACTCCTGTCTGTTACTCCTGTCTATCAACTTCTTATAAATGATACGTAAATATGATAAACCATTTCATATTTTATTAAGTGAGCTTTTTTGGTTATTTGATAGATTGGTGGGGCATAGAGTAAGAGGGATCAGGAATCACTGGCTTAGGTAATTGTTACTTTACAAAGCAATGTGCATTAATACGTTTCATTGTTTAACAGCTTGTATTGTGGGGTAAACAGCTTAGGTGGATTGTGGGGCAAAAATCTTTAGAAGCACTTAAAAAACAAAAATGGTAAAAAAATAGTCAGAAGAAAGTACACTGAACTTGGGTTACACACAGGAATGTTATGGAATTGCTGAGTATACAAATTATGTATAAAATTGACTGATTTTTGTTCAGTTTAGTTTAGACACAGGTAACTTTTCCTATTAATTTAAAAGAGATCTGTGTTTCTAAGTATGAAATGAGATCTGAGCATAAGAAGCTAGCTGGATAGCTCAGTGAGTTAGGTATCTAGCTGTGGAGTCAAAGACAGAGAGTTCAGTTCCCTACTATTCATGCCAAAAGAGCCAATTTGTGTGGTGTTGGGCAAGCTACATAATCCCAGGATGCCCCCAGAAGAAGGGAATGTTAAACCACTTTTGAGTACTCTGTACCTAGAAAACCCTGCAAGTATTGCCATAAGTCAGAATTGACTTTATGGCATACAATTACAAAAACATGAATACAGTAGTACCTTGGTTTATGAAATTAAGCCGTCATCCACGATGTTACGTAATGCAGAAATTACATAAACTGGAACGTGGATTGCCGTATCAATGGGGGTGGCGCTAGAAACCTCCAGGCGTGATGCGTCCTTTTCGTACAGACTGTAAAAAACGTAAACCAAGGCATTATTACTTACAGATTTTGGCTTGTAAACCAAAAATTATGTAAACTGAGGCATACGTAAACCAAGGTACAACTGTAGTTTCACTTGCATGGAAAGCTTAATGTCTGATCATTCAAGGTACTGCTTTAGTAGTGGGTCACTCATATTAATAGGAAGTATTATTTACAAATTTAAAAACTGGATTATTGAGAAGTGTCTATATAGTATAGTAGTAAACTAAATAAAGAAATAAACAGAATTACAAGAAATTATATTTATATAATTGTGTTTATTGCAGTTGCTGTCACAGAGCTTTTAAAATCTATATAATCCCAGTAGAAGTCATTTTTCTAATAATAATGATTTAAAATTCATACAGGCAAATTCCATTTGATTTCCAAGACTGGAAGAATTGAAAAAAGTGTAGAAGCCCACTGTGGAGCTGTACTTGCAGGACGATGGAATTATGAGGGAACAGCACTTGTTACAGGTACTGATTTTTTTAAAAGAACCCAATAAAGGACAACTGATAACCAGTGGCTTCAGTTCGCAAATATAGTGTATGTGTGAAATAATAGAAGCAAAGAGCACATCATTAATGGAAACAAAATGAAACAGCCCTATTGAAAAAAGCAAGCAGTATGTTGACTGAAGAATGGCAAGATATATGAGAATGTGGTTAAAGATAGACAATTCCTTGGATTAATTGTTCATCCCAACTAGAGAAGATCTACTAAATGAATTGGATTTCTTTAGTCTTGTCGAGATTATGACCCTGCTGTGCTTTAGACTAACAATTGAATTTAGTTACTTACATACTGAGAACAGTACTGTAGATACTTTTTTGTATTGGGTTGGATCCATAGGTATCTTTTCTTTTGGTCAGAAGCTTGAAGAATATGTTCTTTATTTCATTAAAGATGTGCTCTTTAGTTCTATTATTTCCTACACAAACAATCTTTGTGTATTCACAGTAGTGCTGTTGGCCAGAGTGCCTTTAAGTACGTGCATGTATTTCCTTCTCATTGAAGCAAACTAAGTGACTGTACAAAATGCTTATATTCTGGAGGCATCTGACTTAGCAGCCACATAGAGAAAGTTGTTATCTCTACTTTTGAAGGAGTGGCAAAAAGACAACTTAGCTGCTCAGTGGGAGAGCAGTATCTCCTTTGTTTCATCTAACATTGCATTTGTTCGTTTCTCTTTACTCAGTTAAAATATAAAACAGATTATTTTCTACTGGGTGCTAAGAAGATATCTGTAGGATAAATTGTACTCACTGTAAGAGCAGTTAAACTTGATTTACTGGATTTAGTGACTATTTCAGAACATATAAATAGATGAAATAAAAAGCCTTAGCTGTTGTGATTATACTCATGATTCTAATACAGTATTTTTTTTTAGAACTAATAGGTAGCAAATTGCTGTGATATTTAAATTACTAAAGTGAAAATAAGAAAATGGTATTTAGTCAATTGTTCATTTAATGTGCAGATAGTAATATAAAGGGAAACATACAAGTTCAGAGACCACTGATAATAGCGCGGCTAAAAAATCTTGTAAATAAATACAGTGGTACCTTGACTTACGAACATCCTGACATGCGACCATTTCGAGTTACAACCAGCTCTGGCTGCAAAATTTTGCTTAGACTTGCAGCCGGAGCTTCGAGTTGCAACTGGAAAAAGGCAGGAAAAATAGGAGGGGAATTCAAATTTGCTAACTGTTGGTAGGCGAAGAGGCTGCTTCTTTGTAGCTCTTTTGCCCCAACAGTTAGACTGAATGCGTCGGAGGAGGCTTGGGACTGCCTGGTAAGGTAAGGTGCTGCTTTCTGCTTTTTAAAAACTGCCTGTTCTGGGTAGGTTTTGCAGGGTGGGTTTGGGCTGGGGGGTTTATGTTTCTGTGCTCTGTTGCTGCTTTGTTTTTTGGTAATTTTTTTTTTTTGCAGCCTCAGCACCTTCCGATGGGGCTGGCTCCATTGTTTATTTTTGGTTTTCTTTAAGCCCCAGTGCCTTCAGGGCTTGCTTTGTTGTTTATTTTTTGGGTGTGTGTTTTTTTTGCAGCCCCAGCGCATTCCGATGTGGCTTGCGCCTTAGTTTATTTTTGTTTTTGTTTTTTTAAGCACCAGTGCCTTTGGGGCTTGCTCTGTTGTTTATTTTTGGTTTGGTTTTGTTTTTTTGTGCAGCCCCAGCGTGCTCCTGTGGGGCTTGCAGTGTTTTATTTTTATTTCATTTTTAGGGGGTATTTTTTACCTTCCAGAACAGATTAATTGCGTTCCAATGCATTTCAATGGGAAATGGTGCTTCGACTTACGACCATTTTGAGTTACGTCCATCTTCTGGAATGGATTATGGTTGTAAATTGAGGCACCACTGTAAATAAAATAAATAAATAAGTTCAGTTTACATAGTTTGCACAGAAGATTTTTTGATAGCTCTGAATAGCTATTATCTGATCAATCCCTATGCGTAATGTATAAAAATGAAATACATTTATGTCCGTGTACAGAAACTGGTGGTAGATTTGCTGGTCAACTAGAAAGAATTCAGAAGATGCGGAAGAGTAATCTCTTTCTTAGGGCCTATGGAAATTGAAATTTCTCAGATATTGCCTTCTGTTTTGAGTTGACAGAAACATTTATTTCATGCTTTCACTTTCTTATGCATAGGGCCTTTCTCCTGCTGTTTGCCATGCTTTGCCTATGTTTAAGAGAGAAAGCCTCATTTGGATGTTGTGAAAGATCTCTGCGCAATAGGTTCAAAAGGCTTTTTGACTGATAATAGTTTATCCACTAATAGAGTTTTGTCAAGAGAACAAGCTGGTCATCACAAACTCTCTTTTCCAACAACACAAGAGGCGACTCTATACATGGAAATCACCAGATGGGCAATATCGAAATCAGATTGATTATATTCTCTGCAGCCAAAGATGGAGAAGCTCTATACAGTCAGCAAAAACAAGACCTGGAGCTGATTGTGGCTCTGTTCATCAGCTTCCCATAGCAAAATCCAAGCTTAAACTGAAGAGAGTAGGAAAAACCACTGGGCTCCTCAGGTATAATCTAAACCAAATCCCTTATGAATACACAGTGGAAGTAAAGAACAGATTTAAGGAACTCGATTTGGTGGACAGAGTGCCTGAAGAACGTTGGATAGAGGCTGGTAACATTGTACAGGAGGCAGCAACAAAAACCATCCCACAGAAAAGGAAATGCAAGAAAGCAAAGTGGCTGTCCAATGAGGCCTTACAAATAGCAGAGAAGAGAAGGGAAACAAAATGCAAGGGAGATAGGGAAAGTTACAGAAAATTGAATGCAGACTTCCAAAGAATAGCAAGGAGAGACAAGAGGGCCTTCTTAAATGAACAATGCAAAGAAATAGAGGAAAATAATAGAAAAGGAAAAACCAGAGATCTGTTCAGAAAAAATAGAGATATTCGAGGACCATTTCGTGCAAAGATGAACATGATAAAGGACAAAAATGGGAGGGACCTAACAAAAGCAGAAGACATCAATAAGAGGTGGCAAGAATACACAGAGGAATTATATCAGAAAGATTTGGATATCC